CTCTATTCTGATCCCGTGCTCATAGCAGAACTTCTTGAATCTGGTGTCTACATATTCACCACCATTGTCGCTTCTAAGTTTTTTGACCTTCAACCCTGTGTCATTTTCCACCATGGCCTTCCACATTTTGAAAGCCTCAAATACTTTAGACTTTTGTTTTATAAAGTATACCCATACCTTTCTAAAGTGGTCGTTAATAAAAATCACAAAGTATCGTTTTTCACTAATGGATGGGACAGTTGTTGGACCCCAAACATCAGAATGAACAAGCTCAAGTCTTTCCTTCTTTGAGGTTCTTCCACTTGTCTGAAAGCTGACTCTCTTCTGCTTTCCAAATATGTTGTCTTCACACATGTCAATTTCTACTGACTGAAGACCTGGAAGTTTCCCCTTTGAATGCATGAACTTCATCCCTTTCTCACTCATATGACCAAGTCTTTGGTGCCATAGATTGGGATTTTCATTTGATGCAACTGCAATCAAATGACATGCTGCTTTGTAAAGAGTACCACTCTTTTTGCCACGAGCTATCGTCATCGCACCCTTTGAGATTTTTCACTGACTTCCATGGAAGGTTGTTGTGTAGCCTTCATCGGCCAACTGGCCTACTGAGATTAAGTTCTTCGTTAGGTCAGGAACATGTCTGACATTCTTCAGTTCCCATACAGACCCGTTCAACTTGATCTTTACTACACATTTTCCCACAATCTCACAAGATTGTTCATTACCAAGGTAGATTTTACCGAGGTTTCCAGTGACATAATTCTCGAAGGATTCTCTCTGCGAAGTTGCGTGAAAGGATGCTCCAGAGTCTAACACCCAAGACTCTTCCTTATTCTCCAAAGAACATATCAGTACATCTCCTTCTGAGGTTGAAGCAACATTTGCCTCTTCTTTCACCTTCTGATTCTTCAGTGCACTCCTGCACTGGTTTTTGTAGTGTCTCGTCTTCCCGCAATTCCAACACTCAATAGTCTTTGAGTTGTTGGAGCTATGATGATTTTTGGACTTGGAACACCTCACCTTTGATTTACTGCGTCCTCTTCCTCTGGTTGAACTTCTGCCTCTTGACTCTATATGCAATACTGAAGAGGTTGATGATTCACCCGACTCTCTACGCCAGATCTCTTCATTGAGAACTAAATCACGAACATCATCAAATTTCAACTTATTGCTTCCCGACGAGCTACTCACAGCTGTGACAGTAGCATTCCAACTCTCAGACAAGGAAGATAAGAGAATTAAAACCCATACTTCATCATCGAAATCGATTCCAACTGAACTCAATTGGGTTGTGACAGTGTTGAGTTCGTTTAGATGTTGTGCCGTTGAGGCGCCTTCTACCATTCGTAAGTTGAACAACCGCCTTATCAAATGAACTTTGTTTGAGGCCGACAACTTTTCGTACATGCTTTCAAGAGCCTTCATAAGATCCGTTGTAGTCTTTTCTTTTGCTATATTGAAAGCAACATTACGGGATAATGTTAATCGGATGACTCCAAGAGCTTTTCTGTCCAGAAGTTTTCAGTCTTCTTCTTCCTTCATAGACTCTGGTTTCTTGCCTGTTAGAGGTTCATGCATGTCTTTCTTATACAAATAGTCCTCTATTTGCATCTTCCAAAAGTCGAAGTCTACACCATCGAACTTCTCAATTTTCACCTTTCCTTCGTCTGCCGCCATAGCTCCCACTTGATTCTAACTTCTTGAATCGCTTCTGATAACTTCTGCAAACCACCGTGAACAAATTGGTAACGTCTGCCAATTTTTACTATTCACAAAAAATACTATTCACGTGAACAGTACTCTTGCCAAAGTTTAGCATAAAGTACCAACTAGCTCTGATACCAGTTGTTAGGAAACTACACAAATTTTTCCCATGTTTAGATTAGTGGAAACAATAAATGAGGAGTAATAGCACACACAAATTGATAACGGAGTTCGGCCAATTATGCCTACGTCTCCAGGCTGCTGCAGAACTTTTATAGAAAGGAGAAATATCCACTGTGTTTACATACACTCACACTCTCTCACAAACCCACAACCCAATTACAACCAAGAGTTTCTCTCTCATAAATTTTTCTCACACTAGAAAATTTCTTTAACTCTCAAATGCACTCATTGCGTTAGAATGAATTTTCCTTCAGCTCTAATGAGTATTTATAGAAGCTGGATTCATGTGTGTATGCATAGCAACAATTATCAACAAAGGCTTCCCATGATTTTCTCTTCACCAAAAACAATATTCCAAATTTAAGGTTACTATACTTTGGGTGGCTGACATTAAATTTAGAAGGTGGAATAGTGTGGCTAAGATTATAGGCCGATGGATCTAACAATATAATCCTGGATTATAAATATAAGTTGCATTGAATTTCTTTTCCAATCAACAGTGACCTAATATCATATCTACTCTAAATTTTGATATTATATACTAATTCAAAATGAAAATCATTTTAATTTCCATAAGCTCTTATTTAACTATATATACAGTAGACTTGAGACTTCAATAAAGACTTATAGTTTAATAAACTTCTTTTTAAGTGCATTCAATTATTTTTTAAAATTTCTCTATTTTTTTTAATTCGTTAATTTAATATTAAACATATATTTCATGCTAAAAGATGAAGTAAAAAGATAAATAAATATTTAATATTCCCAAATTGACTTAAGACAAGATGAAAATTTTAATGAAGAAGATGATAGATTTTTTTTAAAGTGACAGTCTCTTATTTAAAATATTACTATTGAAAATTCAAATTAGGTTAGTAATATTAAAAAAATAATTTTTACACAAATATAAGGAATATAATTATAAATTTTTAGATAATTCCCATAAACATGAATTACTTGCAACTTGTATTGATTGAACATTCAACAAGCTTAATAGTTTAACTTGTTTAGAGTGTGTTTAGTTATGATTATTGTTGGGATAAAAAAAGCATTTAGAATGGATAAAAAGGGTTTAAAAGAATACAGTATAGGACATACAAATAATAAATTTCATATATTGTCAATGTATTTATATTATCAATCAATTAAAATTTATGATAAATACAATTTTTATATTAATTGTGTCAAAAGTAGAAGACTCATATAATAATTTATGATTAGATGAAAATGTACCAAATGTTACACTGTATTTTAATTAAATTACCTTTAAAGTGTTTGGCAAGATTCTCATGTATGTTAAAAAACTTCACTGTCATAACTAAAACTTTGATGTTTATAACTAACATTTATTATACTATTATTTCGCTAACTTTTTATTTATTTCTAGCGATTAAATATTTAAAATACAAATAAAATTATACAAATAATTTTATATTTTTAAATTTATTATTCAAAAGTAAATTTTAAGACATTTAGTGAAAATATCTTAGAATTACCTTTCACTTAATATATTTAAATACAATAATCATTTTCATATATTAATTATGACATTTATAATCAGTTATTTAGATAGTATTTTGTAATATCAAAACACACTCCTGAAATTGTTAGAAGGTTATTGGATTAAGATCTGAAAGAAACAGCTTAAATGCACTTTAACCAAATAATTGAGAGTGAAAGAAGAGAAATTCTATAATGCATTGGAAAATAAATATTATAAACACTTGAAATAAATGAAAAAAAAACCAAAACATTAAACTTTATATTTATACAGCATTAAAATAAATAAGCAACAAGTTAATTTCTACTCAACACTCCCTTTGTCCTGGAGAAACAAGCAAGTAGTATATAATTCACATACGAGAAGCGAAGAAAGTCATGAAGAATAGATGGCTGAACTTTGGGTGAGAAAATTGAAAAGATGATAACTAAGGTAGATGAAGATGAAGAATAGATGGGAAAAAAAATGAAAAAAAAAATCTCACTAAAAAATAAAAATCCATATTTTATTTTAGTGAGAATTTTTTTTCAAGCAAACGAAAAAATATATATATTTTTATTTGGTAGATAGAGAGCTTTTATTGTTGGACAGTGATCTTCTCTTTTTGTTTTTGGTCGACAAATCCCAGCTCTCTTGAGTCCATTTTTATTCTCTTTGGACAAACGGGCTATAGCCCATACTGCAGAGCAATCTTACCAGGAATTGATACCCAGTCCATCTTGGACCCAAAAAATATACAGAGTCCATCAGCACAAAAATGATACCCATTGTCATCAGTTAAGACCTTCACCTATCTTGTACCCCAAACGAAGATGTAGATATTCTGACCAAAATCAATATATATATATAGTCCAAAAAATATTATATCATACAAACATTTTATAACAAAGTTGCTCTTATATTCACATTTTATTTAATAATAATCTAAAAGACGAAGTTTAAAACTTAATATAACGTGAATAAAATATACGTTGAAAATTAAGTTATATCAAATTTTATATTTAAATAATAATATTATGCATCAAACTTTATAAAAGATAAACATTTAAAAAATGTAATGAAATATTAATTATTTTTATAATTTTTAAAATATATCTTATTAATTTTGATATATAAATAAAATATCAAATAATTGAATAGAAAAATATATCAAATAAAATATAAATTATTTTAAAATTTTAATTTAATAAATAATTTTAAAATAAAAATATATAATGAAATGTTATTAAACTATGTAATAAAAAAACATAACTTTTGTGTATAATCTAAATCATTTCATCTCTTTATCGTATATAATTTCTTATATTAATTTTTGACCGCACTTCATAACACGTTTGATTGAAAAACACGTGTTCAAAGTTTATTTACCAGTATAAAGTATTTTTTTTTAATGATATTTGAAGGCATTATTAATTTTTTAGTTTGGTTAATAACAGTGTTTTTAAAATCTATTACATAAAGAGAGAGAATTTTTTATTAAAAAATATTTATTATCCTTTTAACTTAATAAATATATTTAAATAAATAAATATTGTTTTAAATTATTTAAAATTAATTTGAAAGGCTAATGTTAATTGTTTTCTTAATTAATTAAAGAGAGCCGATTATTTGAAATAGAAATTTAGTGAAGTAGAAAGTTGGGGTTGACAGAGTAAGGATTAGGGGAGTGGAGAGGAAAGAAGTGAGGTTTCACGATTGAGTCTTGACGCAAAGAGTTGAAGCAGAGAAAGCTAAGAGCGATAACAGAAAAGGGAAAATGACGATGGACGACGATAGTTCCATATATGTTGGGGGTCTTCCCTACGACGCCACCGAAAATACCATTCGCACTGTCTTCAATTTGTATGGCGCCATTCTTGATGTCAAGGTCTCTCTCTTTTCCCTTTTCTAATTTTATCATTTTTAGGGTTTTAACCAACTTAGGGTTTCGCCACCTTTTTTTTTTCTTTTATTTCATTTCACTATTTTTTTATTTCCATCATTGGGATTCCATTTTAACCGCCAAGTGGTTTTTTTGTTTTCGCAGATTATCAATGACCAACGCACTAGGGGCAAGTGCTATTGTTTTGTTACTTTCACTAATCCTAGGTCAGCAATTGATGCCATCAACGACATGAATGGCAGAGTATGTAATTTATCTTCTTGTACATGTTTGTTATTTTGTTGTGGTGTTATTAAAGACGGGTGTTTAATATTTGGTTATCATTTATCAATTATCATCGTTGTTCTGAATCAGACCATTGATGGGCGTGTAGTTAAAGTTAATGGGGTGAGGAGTCGTGGGGGCAGGTCAAATTTTGGCAGAGAACGTTATTATTATCATAATGGTGATTGGGATCGTGGTAGAGATCGAGACAGAGATTATGATCATGATAATAACGATAAGGATGGATATAGAAATCGGAGCAGTGATTGGACTCGAGACCGTGATAGGTCTCGTGACCAGGACAGGGATAGAAGATTTGAACATATGCATGATTATGATCAAACAAGAGAACCTATGTTAGATAGTGATTGGGGTCGAGAGGATGATCGGGCTGAAACTGAACAAGAAAACAGCAGGGATCATGATGGAGATGTGGATAGAGACCACGACTTAGATTTGGACACAGACGGGAAGATGGATAGGGTCAGTGATCCTGATAGAAGTTTTGATGAGGATACAGAAGAACAGCCAAGGAGAAACAATGAGTATGATTTCCTCCATCCGTTTTCTTTGACATTAGTTAATTTTCATCTTTTCCTCTTTGGTTCAGGACTTATTACTGTTCTACCTGCAGTTTGAATGTCACTAATCAGCATAGCATGGATCTTGCATCGGATTCAAATGGTACTGACAATGATCAGGTAATGTGAACATGTGTGAATTTGTGAAATGTGAGCATTACCGAATTTCTTGTTCAGATAGCAAAATGGCATATAATAAATTGAAGCTGATTGTGTTACATTTTTTATTTTGTTTTTAATTGTTTCTGTGTACTTCAGGTAGAAGATGAATTAGAGAGGTCAAATCAACAGATTGATCAACTAAAAGGGGAGGTTTGTATCTCTTTTGAGCTAACATGAATGAATACTGAAAGTTGTTAAAAATGATAAAATCTGCATCTGTATGCTAGTTCATGATAGTGTGACAAATGTTCTGTTCTGAAGAACTGCATTTTCTGGAGGTGCATAGGTTTACATACAAAGGCTTGCAAGAATTCCGATGTTTACTAAATGCTGAGTTAGAATATCACTTTAAAAGTTTCCGTTCCAACTAACAAGTCCTCTACCTCTTTATATGATATTTTTACCTCTGCTTTGTGTTGATGATGCTAGAGAGTGGAATTTCTTGGCATGTCAGGTTTCTCAGATGGAAGAGGGATTGGAAGAGAAAAGGCTTCAGGTCATGGAGTTACAAAAGCAATCTAAGGTACCTTCTCTCTTGTTTCCATGCATCACATTTTCAACTTGTTTACCATAGTTCTTCGCTTGTTCTCACTTTGAACACAATTTATATTTTATTCTGACCTAGAAGATATTTATTGCAGAAACTGGAAGATGCGCTGATCAATGCGAAAAAACACACTTCATATCGTCAGATGCAGTTGACCAAGGTACTAAATAGTTGTCATAGACTCAATCATACATTAGGTACTTGTTGTCTCTATACTAATATCAAATTCATGAATGCTATTGCTAACATTGGGTTTGGGTGATTTATCTTCAGCTACATAAATGTTTTCTGCAAGTGAAAGATTACACAGAAAGACTTAAGACTAGTGAAAAAGAGCTTCAGGTTTGTGTCTTAACACTATAATTCTGATTTTTCTTCAGTTTCTTTTTTTAAAAATAATTACATTATACATTGGGATTTTGGATTCCGTTTTTACAACTTGTGCATGCTGATAAATGAATTTTATGTAGACTTGTGTGACTAATGCTCCCATTAAAAATTTTATGTTGACATTGTTGTGCCTCCTTCATTTCTGTCTCTCAACATAGAATTACATGGTGGGGGGAGGTATCTTTAAAATTAAATTCAGTATTTCTCTTTTAGGTGTTTTTTTTACTATTTTTAAGTTGTTGCACTGGATATTTACCTCCACAAAGCTAACAAAGTGCTTTTATTTTTAAAAGGGAAATTTTATTAAAGGAAGTTAGAGAAGTACAAATGTAGAGGATATGTCATGCTGCGAAAGGCAAGAAAAAACAAGAAACATAAACTTAAACTATAGTCATTATTAGTTAAGCTTCATAGTGGGATCTATAGAAAGCTATTTTGTCCCATAAATTGCAGTAGCTAAAAAATGGGGTAATTAAAATGCAGGTGTGAATATAGTCTGGTTTGGAGAGTGTCTAAATTTAGTGAGTTAAGTTGCTCCTAAAATTCCCGTTGCTTTCATGCTTTTTTTTTCCATCTCGATGTGTCCCAAATGGATATGATGAAGTAGTGCTGGCAGCATGCGCTAAGTTTATTTTTCTTTGGTGTCTCCAGGCTCTAATTGATGCAGCAATGTCAGAGATTGATGGTGATAGATTAAAGGATGGACAACTTGCAAATGGAAGTGTTGATGGTAGATAGTAATTTATCTTTGGGAGGTTCAGATTGTGTCATTGATGCTTAAAAATGGGTTTAGCATACAGTAGCTTATCTTATATGAAGAAGGAAAAAGGGCTGGCCTAAGGATCTTCTTTTATTTTTCCTTTCAACTCCTCTCTAGTCTCTACTGAATAACATCAATAGAGTTTTGTTTATATTGTTAACTTGATGGTAAACCTGGTCATTGTAACTTATAAAAAAATTTCACTAGAAAACCAAGCTGCTCGTGGTACTTTTTAAGCTCCTTCACTCGACTTTATTGCATAACCTGATGTTTCTTATCCACCAGCTTGGATCTCGGCCTAAAGGACGTACAGATTAGCATATAGCTCACTTGCCATCTGTGCTCTTCTGTGGTCGGGATTTGGGGCCATCTAGTTCACTCTCTTGCGCAGTACTGATCATATATTGACTATCCCGCTTTCTTCCTTTTGCCAAAGCCCCCCTCCTTCCGAATGGTGCATTGGTTCCGAGTCCGTTAGCTACTTGGCATGGACTACACATCAGCGATTTCGGACACTACGAAAAATAGAGATCGAGTTAATATGCCCTTCATTCAAAACTTTGTTTGCAGAATACTGTCCAATCTAGAAAGATATTTGCTTTTTTTCTTTTTTCTAACTCTTTCGATCTACTTGTGTGTGTTTATGATACAACGGTAATACTCAAGGTTGAACTTGAAACATGTAAATTACCGTCACAAACCTGGAACGTTATTCTAAGACGTAATCTGAATTTTGAATCAGTATAACTCTTTTGTTTTGGGTCGACGATTGTAAAATATTTGCTTGATTTGGGGCGAATTATAAATTGGGCCTTCCTAGTTTACTGGTTTAGTGGCACATTCTACGTTTTGGTTAAAATTTGAAACTCTATATTTCACTGCACAAAATAGATATAGTGCTAACCGTAAGAGTTTATAAGTAGTTTATTATCAAGATTTTAGTACAGTTTAATTATTTTAATAAATTTAATAATTAAATTTATAATATGTTATTATTCAGGAAGAGTTTATTGAACAAATACTTAATTAATTTAGATATTCTAATTCACTCATAGTGGGTATGGGCTCAGTTTACAAATTGTATGTTACCAAAAAATGATTAGTGACATTAGAATTGCTGGACATTAAACTGTCAATGTGTCGTTAACTCCAATGGAGTCCGAAAATCCCAGTTAAATATTAATGACCAACGAACTGGGACTGCATCGTTAATTTTGCTTGGTTCGAGGGCGAGTAGATATTTACTGAAACAGTTTCACAATTGAAACATTAAAAATTGATTATGTGTAATATCGTATATTTTTTAGGAAGATGTTAATCTCAATCTTTAGAGTTGAGTTTAAATAATTAATAATAATAAAATTTTATTAAAAATAAACAATATTTATCATACTTTTATATTTTAATAAAAATTAATAAAAGTTTATTACTTTTATGCTTAAACTTAATCTTAAAAACTAAGGTTAACATAATTCTTATTTTTATTTTAGATTTGGTTAATTTTAACCTTAGGATTAAGTTTAAGTATTTAAAGGCAGTAAGTTTTATTAAAAAATATATTTATTATATTCAAGATATAAAAGTGTAATAACTTTTTAATAAAATATAATTATTGATAAGTACTTAAATTGAGCATTAGGAATTGATAATATTTCTTTTTATTTATCTTATTATACATACATATTTTAAAAATACATCTAAATATAAAAAGAGGGCGCTTTTAAATATGCATTACTAATGGTACAAGTAACATTGTTCTTAATAGAAATCACTTATTTAATTCAAAAGATTGAAGAGGAGAGAATGAGAGGGCAAAAATTGCTGGTCTCGGCAGCCACTATTTATTTCCGCTTTAGTATTAGAGGCTTTTCCCTCGGCATTTAAATCATCCGTAACACTTTTGGAGAGAATACTCTTCGACATTGTTATTGTATATGAAATATAAGGGCAAATATGTAACTGAGAAAATTTCAAGAGTGAGAATCGAGTTCTTCCCTCCATAGCAGAGCACTGAACAATTCTATTTTAACATCCAAAATGGGTGTGTGTTAAAAATTAAAATTGCATTGCTTCCTTATCACTATTATACCGATCCGATACATATATAACAGCATCAATAGATTGCATACGCAATAAAAACAAAACAAAACAAAACAAATGCCCACTTTTATGCCCTTTTTACCCTCTGCAGTACAGTCTTTACCACTGAAATATATGCAAAAAGTACAGCCAGGGATATTTTGTTCTTCTTAATTTGTTTTTTTCCCCAATCTCGTTGAACAATGAACATGCATGAGATAATATGGAGCATGCAAGGAAAAAACCCTAATTCTAAAAACACTTTTCATAAAAAACCCTAGAATTTGAGAGTGATCTCACTCCCATTACTCTCCTCAGCCAACCCTTTTCTCTCCCCTTCGTTCTCCCCACTCTCCCCTTTCCAGCTGCTACTCTCCGATTTCCCATCCTCAATACTCTCCGACCGGTTCCCGCCTCCCGGAACGTCAGATTCCGGCGAGCTGTGCCCGTGGTGCGCCGCCTTGTACATGTGCAGGTGATGGAGAGCGTTGTGGTGCGGCGGAGGCGGCGGAAGCAGCGGCTGCTGCGGCGCTGCAGTGTAGAACTCTTGGGGAACTGGGGTGGCGGCACAATAGTGTGGCGGCGGCGCGTGGGAGGTAGGGTGGGCACCGTAGAGAGTAGGAGTGGCTGTATGGGCGGCAGCCGCCGTGGCATATTCCGGTGGGACCCAGATTCCTCCTAGGACCACAAGCTGTGGTGCTCCTGCACCTGTTTGAGGACTTGGACTTGGTCTTCTGGTGTGAAGCCTATACTTCTGTTAACAAAATAGAAAATGGGGTCATAAAATTTCCTTTTTTATAAAATAAATAATATAAAACCATAAAACAAAACTACAAAAAGTTGGTATGGCAATGCATGGTACGTTTAGGTTGTCAGGTCGCAATGATCATGGTACAATAACAATAACAAAGGTTCTCTTTCATGCCTTTCTGTTTGTACATACATGCAGACAGTGGAGTGGTGAAAATAGGAAACATTTACCTGCAAATGGCTTTTAACTTCATCATTGGTCAAACCGTCAACCTTCATCAACTCCCTTATCTGTTTTGGGGTGGCCACTGAGTAAAAAAAACATAAAAAGTTATAAGTACTTATTTTATTATACATGAGATTCAAAAGGGTTGTTTTTTGTTATTTCTGAGTCTGCCCAACCTTATATATTAGTGCATGCTTGATTATTTATTTTAAAAAAATAATCACCTAATAAATTTTAGTTGAACATAGATTGTTAAATATACCTTGAGATCCACCAAGCATTTGGAGAGCATTAACAAATCGACGGTGCAGGTCTGGTGACCAACACCTTCTTGCTTTCCTATGAGTTTGTGTAGTTGTGGTTGTTTGTGCCTGAGATGATGCAACTGGACTATTCCCTTTTCCTTGATCAATTACAGCACCATCACTTGCTGAATTCTCCTTCTTATTCTGACATGAAACACCCTTCTCTCCCTCTCCACGTTTCTTGTCTTCAATTTCTTTCTCTGCAGAAGCAAGAGCCAGTTCAGGGAGAGGTCGCAATGTGGAGCCTTGGCAAGAGTTTCGCTCTTTTGAGAATGGGAGAAAGGCTCCTCCACCATTCCTTTGTTTGTTGTCTAGAGCTAGCTTTGGGCTCATGCTGAAGCCCATGTCAGCTTCTTTTGGTGACGTGATTGCAGCTTGTTGTTTGGTTCCTTCGCTTGCTTGGCTCCACAGTTGTGCAGTTGTCATCCAATTTGCCTTGTCGGACATGTTTGTTGCTTTCTCAGAGCTTTCAGAGGTTAAGTGTTTCATGGGTATGAATTCTTCAAGAACTGGCTTTGTGCTTTGACTTACTTTGAAGGCCTGAAGTTGCTGCCTTGAAGCCTCCATCGCTATTCCAACGCAAAATGAAATATATTGTTTGGTGTGAGAAAATGATTATTGATAAAAAATTACTACATATTGCATGCTATTTCTACACTGAACGATTACTTTGAATCACTACCTAATTAGCATTCAAAGAAATAATAATAGAAGAAGATGATGATAAAGGTTATTCACAAACATCAGAGTTTATTAGGAAAATCAGAATAACAAAAAAAAAATGATCGAGTTCGATAATATAATATATATATATATATATATATATATATATATATATATATTTAATTTAGCATGGCTAGCTTGAATCTTTAAGGTTTCTGATTCTGTATGTTGAATTAATTTATACATCGATCGGGGTGTTGTTATTTGTTAAAGGATGATATAATTTGGAGTACCGTTGGTGAGGAGTTGCATGCAGAGAGGAAGTTCACGCTTGAAGGCATCAATCTTGAGACGTTCTTCCTCTAAGCGAGAAAGGAATTCTTCAAGCTTGTAGGTCTGATCAGTTTGATCTCCAAATGATTTGAGTAGCAAGGAATAGCTATGTGGCTTGCAATCGAGGCTTAGTTCGGACGGTGAAGCCATTGTTTTCCCGTATAATAATAATAAATAACTATAACAACTAACAAGCACAGTGATTAAGATATGTTCATGCCAAAATAGGAACAGGGTGGTATGTGGGAACAAACAAGAGCAAAAGAGGGTGTTTGGCTTCTTCCTTTCTAGTTCTTGTGGGGGCGAGAGAGAAAGACAGAGACAGAGAAAGGGTGCTAATGTTGTTTCTAAACACAAGGAGGATCGAGGGAGGATCGTCTTCTTTTTAGAGGTGAGTTCAATGGGAATAAAGTGGGTTTAAGAGAGAGAAAAAAGAAAAAGCATGGGATAAAGCAGAGGGAAGTAACTTCCTACAAAGAACCAATGCTAAAAAAGTGTAAAAAAAAATGAGAGAGAAGGAATCAGAGAGTCTGACATTAGAGGGTCATGTGCTTAGAGCCTGGTTTTAGAACATCTCAGTGTTCTTTGTACGAATTCAAAATCACTACAAAAGACGATTCTTCTTACTGTTACCCCCCTTTTTTTTTCTTTTACTCCTTTCTCTCTTTTTACCCCTTTTATTTTTGGCTTTCTTTTCGTAAGAGCTATGTGCAAATGAGACTCAGATTCTCCAACCATTTCAAATCAAAACCTCATTAACGGTGTATTATCTTTGTTCCTTTTCTTTTCTTCCGCTCTAAACTTTCTTAGTTTGATGGGATTTATTTTGCTTTTTACCGGATATATTCATGAATTTTTTGTTCAAAAGTCTTTGGAATTAAGTACAAGGATAAGGATGCATACATGTCATGTTACCCAATGGTCTTACTTACCCCATCTTCAACAGAGAAAACAAGGGTTCATTTTTATGTAGGCTTCCAGTACTATCATTTATCTATATGAATGCCTTTATGGATTGGGGAAAGATTAGGATCAAATATAGTTCTTAAATGGATGGAAAGGAGTATAGGGAGTAACTATGGCATATTATTGGTTGCACTTGATATATATAGCTCATGCTCAAGGAATGACCAAAAAAATCATTTTATGAAATCTACATAGATGCAGATGTTGGCCACGTGTTGTGCAAGCTAGTTTTTGTGGGTGTGTACATAGCAGTGTATGCTATTGCTGTTGCAGCAGCAATAATTAATGATTCTATGATGATTAATTAATTGGAAGACTTCGAATTGTGGGGGAGCATATACCATCAACATAATTTTTACCAACACAGTGAATAAAGAGAAAGGGAGAAAGAGGGAGAGGGAAAGCACATATTCAAATAGGTTTTAGTATCAATCTACCTTGCAACTTTCTCTTTGAGTCCAAAAGTTGCATAATTGTCATGAATTTGAGTGCATTCAGCGAAGGGGAGGAATATCTAATCTAAAAGACGAGACATTCACCATATAGAATAAAATATTTGCCTCCAAGAAAGGAATATCTTAGTTCCAATTCTGCGACTCTAAATTAAGGGAACACAACCCACGAAGCTTAAAGGGGAGAAAAAAAATAAATCACCCTCCAAAAGAGTGATAAAGGAGCCTAGCAGGGGAGAATCTTCTTCTGCTACTATCTTTAGTGAAGTGGGTAAGAAGCTAAGAAGATTCTCTTTTACATGTTAAGCGAATTTTCGTTATTTTGGTTAGAAAGCCAGTTGCAAAAATATCAAATACAATAGGGTCCAGTGAGGGGTTTGATCGATGAAAAGTTTTTAATTCCATCTAGTTTATTGATTGGATCACGTTTAATTTACTTGATTCCTTCCGGGTTTCACTCAAGCAATTAAGATCAATGTACTTTTTCCCCCAAAATCATTCGTAAATAGATATGGACTGCCTCACCTTAATGCCTTTTTATAAAATTAACCTTAATACATAGGAAGAAATATTACAAGTATAAAATATACCATGTTTTTACTTAATTTTTTTTCTCATTTAATTTAATTCAGATTAACTCAAGTCACATATCTGTATATAGTATCTGTATATAGTAAGTAAGTTTACCATTGAAAATATCCAAAAACTTACTTAATGTTTTATGGTATGTGTGAATTTGATTTAGTGATATTTAAAATGTGCATTAGTTGTAATTTTTATTATGCTATTTTTTTCATTAAAGAAAACACGAGTTTCTCAACAAAAGAATTTATGAAACTTGTTTCGTTTCAAATCTTTCATCTAATATATGTCATAACTTTATGAAAAAAATGAATTATTTAAGCCACAAATGACTAATTAGTGACATATAATAAGAAGTCAACTATTTTTAAAATGATACAGATGTTTTAAGTCAGTTTTTGTATCACATCCTCGACAATACGCTGAACAAATTTCATCAATGTGTTTGGACAAGTTTAGATAAAGGAATATGAAATGTATGATGTTTGTTTTAAATCCATAATATAAATTAATGTAGTGTATATAAATGTAGGTAATAAAGTAAATTTTGTAACTATACTCACCCACAAAGTATAAAATAAATGAAAAATAAATTATTACAAGAAGACAACTCGTGCTAAAAAATCAATGAGCTAAGTAAAACATTGAAAAATTTTTGATTCAATTCGACAGCTAAGATGTTAATCAATCAATCAATGTCACAACCGGCAGTTTAGCTTTTATATATTGAATAATACATAATAGATGCTACTATGTGGGTGAGTTCCGGTACTTACACTCTTTTTTAAACATATGTGATTTTGTATTAATATACTTTGATCTTCTGTCATCATTAAATATCATGATATAGTTAATATATATAGCATTTTTTTCAAAAATAAAATATTAAGAGAAGTTACAGAATCAATGGTAATCTATAATGAATAACAGGGCGTTGAGTGCCTAATGCAAGAATTAATCTAAAAGTAGGCATACAAAATGTATTTTGGTTCTTTTCAACAAGCAAATACATGCCTTAAATAACTGCTCATATTTTAATAATTCTTTCATAAAACTGTAAAAATAAGTACCTATCTTTTTAAAAAATAAATTGAACCAAACATTCACTACACCTCAATTAATAGATCACGGACATTAATTAACAAAAAAAAAAAAAAAGACAACTTATTTTAGCTTAAATAATGTATATTTTATTTGGGTTCATATTAATTATGTTTTGGCAAAACGATAGTCATCATATATTTCATAAAGTTTGCATAAAAATCACTTGGTCGATGAACTACCCCTCGTGATTATAAACATACAACAAATAAAATAAAAGTAGCAAGTTCATAAATTGTCTCGATTCTTCATTAACATCTTTTAACTTCCTTTAATTTGTTGATGATACATATGCATACATGTTGCCCGTATATACGAATATCATTCTGGCACATGGCCGAGAACATTATAGAATGAATTAGTGAGATTGTCTTGATCAATATAGTATAAAACTTCTACCGCGAATTTTTCAAAAACTTAAAAACCTATCCTCAAAATCCGAAATATTATGTGAGAATATGTAATATATATTATCTTGCAAATAATACGATAAAAATGTCTACATCTCGTGCTTCATAGGATGCACAAACAAAAGATTATGTGATTTTCAATTTAAAAATAAAAAAGAAGAAGGAAAAAGCAATGTGTGTTTGTGTGTGTGAAAGTGAGAGGAAGAGTGCATCGAATTCCCTGAGCCTACAATAAAAATGGCTGGTTGCTTTCTAAGTTGAGTCTTGGTGTAGAAGCTACACTCCAACCCACAACTTTTCTTCGGATTCTTTCTTTTATTTTGTTAAAAAAGAAAAATGAATAAAGAGAAGAGGGGGAAAAAACACATAATAACAAAGAGGGATTATCCTCGAGACACGTGTCCATAATATTCTTCCCTATCATCCTTCTTCTGAATATCCCTTTTGCGTTGCCTATTTGCAGTACTTGTCAGAATATTCCTCCCTTCTGCCATTCTTCTTATCGCTCTGTATCACGATATTCTTTTACTATACATCTCATATTTCACCCTTTTTTCTTTATTTTTGCTTAGTTTAACTTCAAGAATCAAATTTAAGAATTTGTATTGTATGGTTATGCCTCGGATTATTATGTCATGTAAGATTTATTATTAATATTAATTTAAATATATATTTTAATTATGCTTATCAAATATAACTTCTACTCAATTTCCTTATTTTTCGTTTGTGTTAAATTAATCAACTGTTAGCCATAAAAGGGAACCAAACAACAAGTCCAAATAATAGAACCGGCCTTGTTAAGTTTACGCTTGAGTTTTGTAATTTACTTGCCTTTACACGTAATCTCAGCAATAAGAAAACCAACCTATAGCTATAAAAGTCTTAATAATTTAAAGTTAATTAAAATTATATTTTCTATTTGAAGTCACTACTTGATGATAGATATACATAATTCTTCATCTATTCTCTTTTTCATATTAAAACTCTAATATCTCCTTTTAATTTTTGACTACAAATTCGGACATAAAAAATATTATAAAATAGTTTTGCAAATTTAATCCTAGTAATACATGTCTATTTGATTACTTTTTTCTTATTTTTCACATGACATTTTATACTCTTTAAGTCAAGGCTACTTTTTCGGATAAGTCAACTACTATGGTGTAAATTGAATTATAAAAATTCAAGTTCAATCTTAATTTTTATCCTTCCATGCACAACTTATTTATATTATTACGCTGAATCCTGATTAATTGAATCTTGGATCTTACGTGCTAATTTTTTTAATCTTTATTTTTCTTATGTTCATTTTCTTTTATATTTTTTTTTGCTTATTATATCACATCATCCATCATATCTTGTTTTATTTCTCTCTTTTCTTCTTATTTCCCTTCTCTTCTACCCATTTGACATTAAAATTGGTATCAAAGAATTATTTTATCCACCATCTCAGCCACCCCTTCCGGTGGCTCAGCCACTGAGCCAGGTTGCTGGGCCGAACGGCTAATTACTGTTATTATATAGAAATTATAAATGGGCCTTGGAAGCCCAAACACAAGCCATAAGTAGTGGACCCACATTCTATTTCTCCAACCGCATCTAATCTGATGTGCTTTTCTCAAATGTGAAACAGTAGTAGTAGTAGTATCAGTACCACCATACACCACTTTCAATCTTTAACCAATTTCTTGACCCCTCCAAATAAAAAATATTCTAACCTCTGCAAAATTTCTCTCTCTCCTCCAATCAAATTGGCAAAAAAAATAGAAAAGATATTGTATGAAATTTTTTTATTTTTTCTTTAAATT